CTAACCAAAGAGGTAAAAGACCTGTACTCCGAAAGCTATAAAACACTGATGAAAGAAACTGAAGACAACACAACGAAACAAAAAGACATTCCTTGCTCTTGGATAGGAAGAACAAATATTGCTAAAATATGTACACTACCCAAAGGAATCTACACATTTAATGCAATCCTTATCAAAATACCAAAAGCATTTTTCACAGAACTGGAAGGAACAATCCTAAAATTTGTATGGAACCACAAAAGACCCTAAATAGCCAAAGCAACCTTGAAAAAGAAAACCAAAGCTGGAGACATCACAATTGAGGCTTCAAGTTATATTACAAAGCTGTAGTGATCAAAACAGTATGGTACTGGCACAAAAAAAGACACAGAGACGAATATACCAGAATAGAAAACCCAGAAATGAACCCACAACTACATGGTCAATTATTCTTTGACACAGCAGGAAAGAATATGTAATGGGAAAAAGACAATCTCTTCAACAAATGATGTTGGGAAAATTGGACAGCAACATGCAAAAGAATGAAACTTGGGCGCCTGAGTGCTCAGTTGGTTAAGTATCTGACTCTCAATTTTGGTTCAGGTCATGATTTCATGGTCATGATATTGAGCCCCATGTGGGGCTCTGCACTGGGCATGAGCCTATTAAGATTCTTTCCCTCCTTCTCCCCCCTCGCTCCTCTCCTCTCCTCACCTGTGTGCACTATTTCTCAAAAAACAATAAAAAATCAAAAATAAAGAATGAAACTGGACCACTTTTTTATACCATACACAAAAATAAATTCAAAATGGATGAAAGACATAAATGTGAGGCAGGAAACCACTGAAATCCTAGAGGAGAACACAGGCAGAAACCTCTGTAACATCACTTGTAGCAACTTTTTACTAGACATGTCTCTGGAGGCAAGGGAAACAAAAACAAAAATGAACTACTGGGACTTCATCAAGATGAAAACTTCTGCATAGCTAAGGAAACAGTAAAAAATACTAAAAGGAAACCTACAGAATGGAAGAACATATTTGCAAATGACATATCTGATAAAGGGTTAGTATCCAGAATATATAAAAACTTACCAAACTCAACACCCCAAAACAAATAATCCAGTGAAGAAATGGGCAAAAGACATGAACAGACACTTTTCCAAAGAAGACATCCAGATGGCTAACAGAGACATGAAAAGATGCTCAGCATCACTCATCAGAGAAATACAAATCAAAACCACAATGAGATATTACCTCATACCCATCAGAATGGCTAAATCAACAACACAAGAAACAACAGGTGTGGTGAGGATGTGGAGAAAGGGGAACTCTCAAGATATGGAAGCAGCCCAAGTGCCCATTAACTAATGAATGGATAAAGAACATGATGTGTATATATACACAATGGAATATTATTCAGCCATAAAAAAGAATGAACTCTTGCCATTACCAATGACATGAATGGAGTTAGAGAGTAGAATGCTAAGTAAAATAAGTCAGTCAGAGAGGACACATACCACATTTTCCACATATGTGGAATTTAAGAAACAAAACACATGAGCAAAGGGGGAAAAAAGAGAGACAAACCAAGAAGCAGAATGTTAACTACAGAGAGTAAACTGACGGTTATCAGAGGGGAGGTAGGTGGGTAGGTGGGTGAAACAGGTGATGGGGATTAAGGAGTGCACTCGTTGCAATAAACACCGGGTATTAAAATTAAAAATTAAAAAAAACACAAAAGGTTAGAGGATATATTACATAAATCATGGCAAATGGGAAAAAGTTGTCTAACATGCCGCCATTAAAAAGGATAAAAGGGATAACATATAGTGACTTAGAAAGATGTTCACCATGAAAAAGCAAAAACCATAATCACATATATGGTATGAAAATAAGGTAGAGAAGCTGAATACACTCCATTTTAGAAAGGATCCATCTCTGCTGTTTTTATGCTAAATTTTTACTTATGCTCCATATTTTGCTTCTGAGTAAGCTAAGTAAGCTCTGTTCCCACTTCAAGGGGGAAGCAAGAAAGTTAATCCTTCTCTGCGTTTTGTCTTAGGCCCCAAACACCTTTTAACACCTTAGAAAAGCCAGATCCCAAACACATTCCAGGACATTAGCTTAAAACAAACCTCGGCTGATGTTGGTATTAATACCACTCCTTCTGTGATTTATGGAGTAACACCTATTGTTCACCAGACACTTGCCTTTGATTGGACCTTACCCTGGATTCCTAGAGGAACACGTACCCTAGACCCTTTTCTAGCATAAACCCCTTGCCCCAAGAAATGATGAGACTCATTCTGCTTTCCTTTCTGAGTATCCTGGATATTCCATCTGCTATTCTCTACCTGTCACTTACACTATTTAATAAACTCTGTTTCCACTTTCTCTGCCTCATGTTTGATTTCTATCCTGTGTGAAGCCAAGGACCCTATTGGCTGGTTCTGTGGGACCCTTCTCTGGGTCTTTGGACCCAGTCTGTCTGCATAAAAAGCATAATGTGGGGCACCTGGCTTAGTCAGTTATGCGTCCGACTTTGGCTCAGGTCATGATCTTGTGGTTTGTGAGTTCAAGTCCCGCATGTGGTCTTTGCACTTGATTTTCTCTCTCTCCCAATCTCTCTCTCTGCCCCTCCTCCATTTGCATTCTCTCTCTCTCTCTCTCTCTCTCAAAATAAGTAAATAAACTTGAAAAAAAAGCATTATGTGCACATACTGATATTGATGTCTGTGTGTGTGTGTATACATATATACACACACCCACATATATTATATATATATATATATATAATGTTAATCTATATAAAGAAAGGATTTGGTGGATATAATGCTCCAGCAAAACTTTTAGTACTAGCTAATACTGAAGGAAATAAATAATTTTCTGTTTAGTATAATTCTGTATTTTTTTATTTTAAATAATTCAAATAAAAATATTTCCATTGAAAGAAGAAAAGTACACACCATCTGTTTTCCCCATTCTATTTTTTTTTAATGTTTATTTATTTTTGAGACAGAGAGAGACAGAGCATGAACGGGGGAGGGTCAGAGAGAGAGGGAGACACAGAATCTGAAACAGGCTCCAGGCTCTGAGCGGTCAGCACAGAGCCTGACGCGGGGCTTGAACTCACGGACCACGAGATCATGACCTGAGCCGAAGCCGGACGCTCAACCGACTGAGCCACCCAGGCGCCCCAATTCCCCATTCTATAAACTAGAAAAATTGCTATTACTTTTAATCTCAGTAATTTAATTCAATAATTACCATGAATGAATAATTTGATTCAAGATAAACTATAGAAACTGTTAAAAATTATAAATTATATGAAAATAGAAATTCAAATTATTCAACAATCAAATTCCAGTGAAGAATGATAATTTTAAAAATTATTTTTATATTAAGACAGGATTTTAATTTTATTAGGATTAAACCCAAAATAGTTTTTCATCAGTAAGGTTCACAATTTTCTGTCAATATGCGAAAACACTGGCAACAATTTCTTAAAGATAAAAAACAACAACTGTAGCAAATTCATGAAGCTGCTTTATCACTTTTCAATGCTTTAGTGGCTGGAAATAAATCTTTTTCTTTGAAAGTATAGTTGGCAACATATAAAAATTAAATACAGTCATAAAACCTCAATGATTTATGAGAAAATGATACAATGCTCCATCACAAAGGCTGAATATGGAATATAACAGCTGGAAAAATGAAGAATTTCTTTAGCTTCCGCCACTACAATATATCTCGGTTGGTCTCACCCAGAGCTACACAAGATATTCTTTCCCATCAGTGAGGCTTGCTGCTTGTTCTTCCCTCAACCAAACCACCAAAAATAACATGCTCTTCCCATATGGGATTAGAGTCATCACACATTTATTTTACATTCCTTGTTCTACTGCATCTTCATTTCAGTTCAACAAGTGGGCAAGAAAGATATTACATGCAATTTGCAGATGAGGAAACTTAGTATTCTAGAGGCACCATGCTTTGCCAGCCACAAATCGCATGAGCAGTGAGCAAACTATCGTGTACAAACACACAGCCAACACAAGAGATCATGAACAAAGGTATAGATCCGTGCAACCTGCTGTACCGTCTTCAGGAGAACTTTCTGACTCCTGGCCCACTGGTGGTTATGTTATTGTTGTTTTGATTTTAGTCTTATGTCTTTGATTTGCACTGTTCTGTCTCTTTTAAGCATTGAGCAATTTGTCTTGAATTTAGCAAAAAGGTACTGGAATGTGGGAGTGGGGGTTGACCTACATCTGAACGATTTGCATATGATTCACCACAATTAAACAATTGGGTTTGAAATAGCTACAATTAAGCTATTATCAGAGAAGTATTTACTAGACTAGAAATTCTAAATTTATCTTCACATAGGTCCTAGCCAAGAAAGGGACCACCTTTTCTGGCGCTCATATTAAGTAAAGCTAATAATGAAGTAAATTCTTCCAAATTAATATTTATATTACTAAATCACTGATAGCTAATTATACTTGTGGTTACTTGGTTATTTCTTCAAAAATTATAGGCTTAAAATAACAAGAAAAATATGAAATTAGGGTAGACAAAAGAATCTCAGTTTCTAATAATATATTACATGTATTATTATACACAAATGTACATATTAAAAAACTGCCTTCTTGATGTGTGAAAATTGTATATGATATGTCTCACCACCCTAAAATTATGGAGAGAGTAATATAAAAATGTAAAAGAAAGACTAAATTCTGTCTACCGTAAACATAAATTATAATACTATACTATAGTATTATACATAGTGGTATGTATATTATATATAGTGGTATGTAATAGTATGGAAGAGAAATTCAAACTGATGATTAAATACTATGTGTTGGATGATTTCAAGTTTAGGAAACAAGTAGATTTTCGATTATTCAGAATAAGCAACATCAATTCTAGCTATGTCTGACATGATGAATAAATTATTGCAACACAGCTAAAACAAACACAACATATTTTATAACCAGAAAAGTTTCTTTTTCCTACCTTTACAGGTGCATGAATATTTCTCTGATTAACTTCAAGAATACCCTACAAGAGAAATAGAATGTAGATGAGATAGAGAAGAATAAAACAGCAGGATTGTTTGAATATTAAAACCAACACCATGTTAGTGGTCTCTTTGCGGGGGGGGGGGGGGGCAATCTTTTTTTTTTTTTTTTTTTTTGAGAGAGAGAGAGAGGGACAGAGCTTGAGCGGAGCAGGGGCAGAGAGAAAGGGAGACAGAATCCAAAGCAGGCCCAAGGCTCTGAGCTTCAGCACAGAGCCCAATGCGGGGCTCAAACTCAGGAACAGTGGGATCATGACCAACTGAAACACCCAGGCGACCCCCCTCTGGGGGGGGGGGCGGTGAGAGCTATTTACTGTGGCAAGGCATTGACGGTTTCATCCACAAATACACATGAATCTGGCAACACTGAAGGTGACATAGTGCACACAAACATTAGAGTAAAGACGTGTGGATGGAGCATTTTTGCTATCTGTAGCGTGTGGATGTAGTGATTAGGACTCTTGTTCACAACTATAAGCCAATTTAATAATTTTACTATTGACAGTTGGTAAAGGTGGCAAGGAAAAAGTAAAATTACACCATATGGCTAAAATGAAGAAAGACAACTTACAAAACAAAGATTTCCAGATTTAATAACATCTTTTTTAATTTTTTTTAACGTTTATTTATTTTTGAAATGCATTTTTTTTCAACGTTTTTTATTTATTTTTGGGACAGAGAGAGACAGAGCATGAACAGGGGAGGGGCAGAGTGAGAGGGAGACACAGAATCGGAAACAGGCTCCAGGCTCTGAGCGGTCAGCACAGAGCCCGACGCGGGGCTCAAACTCACGGACTGCGAGATCATGACCTGAGCCGAAGTCGGCCGCTCAACCAACTGAGCCACCCAGGCGCCCCAATAACATCTTTTTTTATGCAATTAAAAATATAGGTACTAATTGTAGTCCGTTTTGTGCATATGATCTCAAGATTTCAGCTTGGAATAAAATCAAATCCTACATTTTGGAGATTTTAGACAGATGTTACTTGGCATAGGAAATTGCTATAAGGAAACTCTGGTGACTATCATTAGAACAGAACTGGTATTAGAACTAGAGGTCAGCTTAAAAATTAACGGGTACAGAGGCACCTGGATGGCTCAGTGGGTTGGATGTCTGACTTCGGCTCAGGTCATGCTCTCATGGTTCACGGGTTTAAGCCCTGCTTCGGGATCTATGCTGACAGCTCAGAGCCTGGAGCCTGATTCAGATTCTGTGTCCCCCCTCTTTCTCTGCCCCTCCCCCATTTAAGCTCTGTCTCTCCCTCTGTCTCTCAAAAATAAACATAAAAAAATTTTTTTTAACTCAACTGGTCCAACATCATCACTTTACAAGGCACAGAAAGGTTGCACAGCTAGCTCAAGGCAGGACGAAGGGTCCTCAATACCTTATACTCATACTCATCCCACAGCATTACAATATTTAATTCTTTGTAACTTTCCAGGATTGGAAGGAAGTAGAGAGAGTGGGATTGCGTATTCTGCTCTTGGTAAGTTCCATCTCCTTGATGAAGCTTCATACTCCTGCCTGAATGAATGACCTGTGTCATCAATATGTATTACCTCTACTTCATTCAAAACTTCTTTCCTTGCTGAAGGGAGATACCAAAGAATCAGATGACAGGATTCTGTTCTTAAGCTGCTTACAAATGAAGGGGAGCAAGCAGGAAAAAATCAAGAGAAAACGCACATGAATAACACCACTAGCTGGACAGAAGAGAATCCACCCAGTAGTACTTCACATAAAATCTGTTTTCTAGGCAGCATTCAAAGGAAATCTACCATTGCTCTTTAACAAATGCTTTCCCTTTCTGAACCAACCTGTACTATTATACATAGTCATAAAATCAATCCCCTTTGCTTTCTGGCTAGGCCTCTTTTTTTAAAATATACAATTAACTTGTGATTCTTAATTAATGCAATATAATTTCAGTAACAACAACAATTGCTTATTAAACCATTTCTTGTACATGCTCTCGAAAGACAATAACCTCTGGCCCAGTTTGTTTTGACGTTAGCAGTAACCTCTATATCTTCAGAAAGTTCAATAACAGAATCAATATTACATGCACACAGAATCCACCTCTGTTCTATCAAGACCTAGAATTTTAAGAGACTGGGACCTGAGAAAGCAGCAATGAATCAGCTGTGGGGATGTTTTCTTGTGCTGGAATTGCAGAAACAGCTTGCGTGTGCCACGATGGAGGCTCACAGCATCAGTAAGATACCTGTGCCCTTGCTGGACAAACCCAATGATTAATTCATGCTTCCTTTGCAGAATGTCAAAGGATAAGTGTCATAAATGTAAAAGCTGTATCAGATATTAAAAAACACATTAGATAAAAGATGTTTCCAAAATGAGAGATTTAAATTACTGGAGCAGTAGATCTAGCTAAAGTAGCTAGTGACTTTAAGAAGATAAAGCATTATTTAGTAAAAAGATGTATTTGCTGGATTTTATTATTCCAAGTTTTCAATTCTGCTTAAATCATGAAGGAAGAATGCTGAGACAACTTTTTTAGTGCCAAAGTTTAAGCAACTTAATCCAACCATATTTAAGAGAAATAAAGTCACAGAATAAATTTCGAAGAACATGTTTCTTTGAAATTTCAGTAATCAGTCAAGTAGAAAGTGGTCCTACATTTTTCTGCAAGAAGCCATATGACTATGGTTCAGCCATCTTATTTTATAGATATACAGATATAAACACAGACACATATAGACACCATAGTGGGTGGGCACAATTGCATTGTATATAAGCAAATATAGTTAAATATCGAAATATACACTTCTGTCCATTATGTATTTTATGTTCTTAAATATGCTTGACTAAGGACTAGAGTTTTGGCTTTTTAATATCTCTAAAATCAGGTAATTATGGTAAATAAACATGTCTACAAGCTTCAAAGCGACATACATGGTCCCAATGACTGCCAATTTAAGGCAAGATTACCATAATGTAGAAGGCAGGATTTTGTAGACAGTTGGAGGACAAAGAAGTAAATGTCAAGTTACTATTTTTAATATAAAATTAGTTAGAAACTCTTCTTGCTCTTTGCTCTCCTCTTCTTCCACTGAAGAGACTATTTCTTACTAAGATGCTAGCACAAACACTTAAAAGATCTCCTCTTTTAGAAAAATCCAATTTGAACAACCAAGAGAATTTAAAATATGGTATAAATGTATTTAAGCTTTCATTCCTAAAGGCTTTAGTTCTTTCATCAAAATAGGAGGTCACAACAAGTGTATATTGTACAAAGAGAGCAAGGTGTTCAACGCATTTGAAGAATAGGAGCAAAATTAGACGTTAGCATTTCTACGGAAGCACATAAGAAACACCAACTTTGTTTTGTCTACACTATACACCTCTAACATAAAATAAGAATGATCTTCATAATGGACATTAGAGAATTAGACAACACATTTATTAAAATAAAATTTAACAGTATCATTAAAAGCTTTTTGATTGTCTACATAAGTCCTCTTATTTTACAGATGTATAAATGAATTAGACATATACTATAATGTCTGAGTAAAGCCTAACTTTATTATCACAGCATACGTTTTATTTTGATTTCCACTAAGCTTAGTATAGCCATTTTAGGAAAAGCGAGCATTAAAACTGTCATATTTTTAGCTCTGAGGCTCACTTCCAGTCTCTCTTCAGGATTCACATTAAATAATGTCCATTACTAGATTCTCTGCTAGTATATTTTTTCTTGAAAACCTATAGTCTTCTATTTACCCAACAAAATATAAACACAAGATTAAAATATAAAGCTGTATTTGATAACACTAATTTTTTTGACCTTAACTATTCACCAAGCATGATATTTGTTCATAAGAAATAAATATATTGTTTCCACCTGGCCTCTTACACACTCCATTTTCTCTTCTGTTCCCACAGTTTGAATGGCCCCAGTCTACACTTTGAATCCAAGTTTGGGGTAGGTGAGGGGTATGTTAGTGTCTAAGTTTTGGTCTGTTTAATAATTACATCAGGAAGTTGTGGCTTAGTTAATGGCACTAACAGAGTCTTCTCACAAAAGGGGATAAGACCCAAAGCTTTTATAGTATTATAACCCTTTCTACTTCTTAACAATCATAAGATGATCTAAATCATTATAAAGGTCACTCCTGACCTTTCAAAAGTCAAACTTCCTTGCATGGTGCTAGATAGCATGTTTTGAGAACAGTTTCAACAGTAACTTCATGTCCAAGGAATTTGATAAGCCCTTTTTCCCCACAAAGGCTCAATTGGAGAGAATGATATGACTGGTTTTCTGCCAAGAGACCCGCTGTAGAGAGATTGATCTCTAGTGATCTTTTTTTTTCCTTTTTTTTTTCCCACCAAGTGACAGTTGGAATATGCCCATTAGGATGGTTCTAGAAGTGTTCTTAAGCAACTTGTAGAGGCCCAGCTGAGGTCTTGTCAGTTGATCTGAGAAAAACGGTGAAGGCATCCCAATGACAGACTGTCAGACTGTCATGTTTGATACCTTTCTGGAATAAAAATCTCCACGCAAGTAAAATGTGCTGTACTTTAAAATCACAGTTCCAGGAAGTGGAATTTTGAGCTATGTTTGTTATATACATGACAAAGTAAGTTTAATGCCATTTATTAAAAACACACATGCACATGCCCTCTTTAAATGTACTTTCTTTTGCAATAAATGAAATTCAAAGTATCTTATTTCTAAAAATATCTCGACATTTGTTTTGGAAAATACAAAATAATTGATGGTTTTCATTAAGGGAAGGTTACATCTAAAATAATAAATTTTTGGGGCGCCTGGGTGGCGCAGTCGGTTAAGCGTCCGACTTCAGCCAGGTCACGATCTCGCGGTCCGTGAGTTTGAGCCCCGCGTCAGGCTCTGGGCTGATGGCTCAGAGCCTGGAGCCTGTTTCCAATTCTGTGTCTCCCTCTCTCTCTGCCCCTCCCCCGTTCATGCTCTGTCTCTCTCTGTCCCAAAAATAAATAAAC